GGGGAGGGGCTGGGACACCTAGACATAGGGTAGGGGCTGGGACACCTAGACATAGGGTAGGGGCTGGGACACCTAGACATAGGGTAGGGCTGGGTCACCCAGACATGGGGGAGGGGCTGGGACACCTAGACATAGGGTAGGGCTTGGACACCTAGACATAGGGTAGGGGCTGGGACACCTAGACATAGGGTAGGGGTTAGGACACCTAGACATAGGATAGGGGCTAGGACACCAAGACATAGGGGAGGGGCTGGGACACCTATAAGGTTGATTATGGAAAGTCATATTCTATAAATACATATGACACAGGGCTTAGAAATTAACATCCGAGCAATGCTGACTTACTTGGCAGTACAACTGAACAATTAATGGTCAATTAATTTTCATGAAGTGTCGGGCAGTAGACCCCCAGCCCAGACACACAGGTATTTAATTACATCACAAAGCCACTTTCTTCATTGAACTTTTGATCCACCTTAAATTCCTTATCAGCTCAATGTGATCATTACAAGGACATAGCATGTTTCTGGTACGTTCTGTACCATATTCTACTTCAGACTTTTCCTGCATGTAGTACGTTTATGTCCACTAAAAAGCCCACCTCAATCAGACCTCTCGTTAAATATTTTCACTACAAAAACATATGGTTGTCTTATGTTGCCTCTGTTGCCTCCGCCACCTCTTGTAAGCTTGGTAAAGAATGATCATGTAACAAAAATATCTAAATATGTGCTAGATCTTCTATCTCTCTCTCTTTTGTCTATTACGCAGGATTTGCTTCAATTTCTTCTTGTTATAAAACATATCTAAGGAAAAATGAGGAAATGAACTACAATCTTCCAAAAGCATATACTCTAGCAGGAAAATCAGTAAAACTGATGAAAACTAAAAGGTTCACAAAGACAGGAATAAAGTGTGACCTGATCAATGTGACTTTGACCTTGGGCGTTCTGACCCGAAAGTGGTAGGCGACACACTGCCTTCCCAACTTTCATATATCCTTAAAATTTCAATAAGCTATCTTGTCAGCAAATCAGAAGTTATGGCCTAGCCTATAGACAAAGTATTTGAAATATGACCCCAAAGTGACATTGACCTTGGGCGTACGGTACGGACCAATCTGTAGATACATTGTGGCAACACATACCAATGATTGCCTTCCTTCATACAATGTATATCCCTAAAATGTCATCCAGTTATATATCTTCATGGATCAGGGAGTCAGAAGTTATGGCCAGTTATATATACCCGACCTTTGATTTCACCTCAATATGACTTTGACCTTGGGAGTCGGACCCAATAGTGGTACTGTCTGGACATCCTATATATATTTATTACATTTCACCAACATATATTGTCAAAGAGTCAGAGGTTATAATTCCAGACAATTAATTTGACCTTTGACATCAATGCGGCCTTGACCTTGGTCATATGAACCCATTAGCATGCGACACACCACCTTGCCATCCTACATACATCTCTTCAATACTTATTTAAGCTATCTTCAGCGAGTTAGTAGTTATTGCCCAGATAAACAAACACATATAGACGGACAACGCAGCCACTTCATATCTACTGCCTGAATTTTTTTCGGGGAGCATAAAGTTTTCAGAACAACTTTTTAGAATATTTCTTCATCCAGTTAGTATGGAAAACTATGTCTAAATCTCATAAGTATCAGAGCTGAAACATGGATCAAAACTGACATTTTAGTTACTTATAAAGTTTTGCTGGTAAGCAATTTAGGAACAGTAATATAAGACTTGACATGACAGTTTACAATTGAACAAATAAAATCTATAAACAGGAGTAGTGTATACATGTATATGACATGCGTCAATTCTAAAATAAGAGGGAATTTCAGTTCATTCATTTTTAAAACTATAACTTGCTCTGACATGTGTGCATAATTAGACAAGGAAATATGCATAATATATACGTGTAGCTAGTATACATACATATATATACCGTATACGAAGCTACCTGTAAAAACATGTAAGCAGAGAATATTTTGACAGGTAAAAAGTTTGACAGTGACTCGGCTTATCTTGCATTTAGCATGTTCTTCTTGGTCTCTCATGGCTAATTTGTATCATTAGCCTGCTGTTGACCTAAATTAATCTACTAAGTTGCCCTACATGACCCTAGTATGTTGATCTACTGAGTTGCCCTACATGACCTTATTGTGTTGACTACTGTTGACCTACATTCTACTAAGTTGCCCTACATTACCTTATTGTGTTGACTATTGTAGACCCACATTCTACTGAGTTGCCCTACATGACCTTATTGTGTTGACTACTGTTGACCTACATTCTACTAAGTTGCCCTACATTACCTTATTGTGTTGACTATTGTAGACCCACATTCTACTGAGTTGCCCTACATGACCTTACTTTGTTAAGGGGCTGTTAAAAAAATATCAAACAAACTAAATTACCATACGACTGAGGATTACAATTTCAATTTCTATCATATTTCAGTTTCTATACATTTCACTTCCTGCTTTTTGAGATGAAACATACTGCTGTTTTGTTTATATATATATATACAAATGTATCAGTGACAGAAATGTAACCATATATATACATATATGTAGTTATTTCCATGTCTATAAATAAACCTAGCATTGTCATATATGGCTGCAAAAACCAGTGACAATTTCCTGAAGTTACCTTTATATAGTTGTGCTTTATCAATCAATCTACTTCAAATATACAACACTCAATTTGACATGAACAAATGTTGGTTTCTCCCAAATATAGAACTGTCTACCCTGAGATAAACCACCAATAATACATTTAAAGTAGGAGAGTAAAGGATTAATAAACCAATTCTAGATCTAGGAGTGTACCCTGTAATGTTATTGCATTATGAATGCATTTTGGTGACTGATAGGCATTACAAACTAAAACACAGTTTTTTTTGTAAAACGGTTTAAATGTATGATTTTTGGATCCGGACAACACTACAATCATTGACCCTGTGTCGCTGGGTCTCTGTGTTTTATGTCAGAAAAGTGTGTGAAATCCTGAAATCTCTGTAAGTTGACACTGACTTTTTGTATAAGAACTAATTTGCTCCTTCTCAAGTGCTTCCGCCAGATAATGATCTCCACCAGTTACAAGTTGTGTAAATTATTCTGACAACAGTGGTAGAGCATATCGTAATCGCTGGAATTTAAAGTCAAGTCCTTGTGAGGTTGTTTATCGTAACATGCTTTTAAATTTACGTCATTTGGAGGATCCCTGACCAAGTCCTTATTTCCCAATGAGATTCATATCCATACGTAAACTTAGAAATCTAAGAGTGTATGACTATGAGAATTCATTATCTTGAAACTATATACGTCAGTGTTTTTGTTACCTAAATTTTACGACAGCCTGTTCCGTTATGAATTTGGAAAATATAGCATTATTTGTATTAAAATCGGGAATATATTCCTCAGTTTTTTGTCATTTGGTAAAAAAAGGCACTTTTTAGCTAAGGGAAACAGACTGTATTCTGCAGTAAAGCTGAGCAAAAAAAATCACTGTACGTGTGTATATATACATTGTATATATATAATATATGTGCATAACCTTGTGTTGTATAATAATGCTTCTCTGGTGCGTATTAATCATGTAAATTTAAACTGATCATCATGCAAATCAGGGAACATGTTTATGTTTGCGACAGAAATAAGCTTTTAGTTATTTAACAGGTGGTTGCTATTATAACAGTGACCAGTTAAGGGTGGAGTTTGCCAAAGTGTGTAGCTGACGCTCTGCGGCAGATTTGTAGTGGCGGGGTATTAGTAGTGAAGTCTAAAATTGAAAAATATTTTAAGTCACATCATGAATTTCACACATCGTTTCACACATACATTCACCTATATCTACAAAACAACAAAAACACTAAAACAGGTTCTTGTACATTTAATTAATGGTTCATTGATTTTTGTGATTTTAGGAGGAATGCACAATGCTGTCCAAAGCTCTGGATCCAACATAAACAGATGATTGTTATGATCATAACGATACAGAAATCCCCCAAAACCTGATATACCTGTTGTATATAATCATATCCTGTTAGACGTGATGTATGTGTGTTTGATATTTGTAAACTCTGACTCACATCAGACTTCTGTAACAAGTCTACTGCAGTGGTCACCTGACTTAGGTGTGGAGCTGTCGGTACTCTATTATATAACACCTCTGCACAGGTACGCATTTACCTGAGAAGGAATGTCAGGGTGCTGGGACCTCTACCTGTTCTACATTTAATCATACCTGTATTTATATGTCTACCAGCTGTAAGCCACACTAATGCTATACATGTAATTTTCAACATAGAAACTAGGAAATGATTTACTGGACAACTCCACTTACAATGATGTTGAAAATAACATAAGTCCTTTTTAAAAATTCTCTAGACCTTCTTGCTTCTTCATCATTTACTGTTTATGTACTTTATTCTGGATGTACACTAAAACGTAACCATCAAAAACTGCCCCCTCCCCAAACACACATTTGTTTTATAGGTTACGTTAATGCAGAGACATATAAAGCCAGTGTATATATATACGTCTCTGGTTAATGCTACACATTTTAAATTGTATTGGGACCCACCAAACACTGTCCCTGTTGATCAAATTCAATCATGAAGTCAAGTTCCATATTTGGAAGAAGATATTTACGAATAAAATGTCTAGTTATTTTAGTAGTGATTTGCATCATACTTTATTAATAAAAGACTAAACTTCTTTTCAACTTTCTAACGAACTGACATATAGACTTTTATGTCATTTCAACTGTAGTAATCCATGTGTAACGACCTGTAACCGGTGACATGTGGTCGTTGATTGATTTGTTTACCATGCTGAGTGGCAGGTGTACGTAGGAGCTTCAGGCTGTAGCTACAGAAGGTCGGATACCAGGGCGCGCTTCAATACACATACATAAGACATGACTTAGAAAGGAAAGACGGTGTAAATGACCGCTAAACTTACATCTCAGTCTTTCTCTGGGACCTGGATGACCATCGTTAACCTCCATTTCTGTCGACATTATGTGTAGGCTTCAGTGACACTTACACATTAATATCTTTAGTCCGCCAAAATAGTGAACACACAATTTCCTTTAGAATATACAAACACTTATTTCCATGCAAGTGACATCAAACCATAAATTAACAACATAAATGTCCCTTGCTTGTACTATAATCCAGCTTCACTGAAACTGTCTAATCCAAAGTGAAACGGACATTTCTGCATAGTTAGTATCCCTGCTTTCTCGTGTCTCTTGTGTACAGTCAGTTGAATGAGGCGCGACCCACAGAGTTCAAACTATTTCCGCGGGAATTATGGGTATGTTCACCTTCTACCTTTGACCTTTTAGTTCAAGGAAAACTCGTTAGAAGGCGCTCAAATCAGGTTGTTTACAAATGGCGACGACCGTGAACTGAAGCAACAGGTAAACTATCGATTAAACGCTATTGGTGACATCAGTATTGTCTGGTATATAGGCGGTACTGGAGAGATTCAAACTAGATTGCAATTACTTTAAGTTAATTGATACTTGATTGATTTAATGCTCGCAAGTTTTAGAATCATGAGAACAACGCCATGCCTGGTGCGTTGCCAAGACATGTTCAGGCTGTGTCCAACAAATATTGTGAAATATTTCTTGACGAAACAATGTGTTTTGCCGATTTTTATGCGTGTTCTGAAATTTCAGTAAAGACATTTTTTCATGTCGTCAAAATGATTTTAATAGGTTGCAAAAACTGAAAATGTCCGCCCCAGAATTAAAAATACTTTTAAAACCAAAGTAATTTTGTTGCTGAGAAAATATCTGATTAGCACAAGAACATTTGGTGGCTTTGTTAAGTAACATCATTTAAACAAAGTGTTTTTATTCAACTTAACTATGCACATGTTTGAAAATTCTTTTATTTGGGTTAATAATAATCAGAGTTTATCTCTTGGGTTTCTCTAATCTTTGACTTGTCATGTCAATATAGTGTAAGTAATAAGTGTTGGGTCTTCATTATTTTATGTAATTGTATAGATAAAATCAAAATTGTTGGCTATGTAGTACAAATCACAGGTAGCATGGTTAAAGTTGTCGCTAAGAGAATATTACTGGTATAGAAAAGTATTCAATTTCCAGTTAGAAACAAAATAAAATCCTATCAAATCTTCTTTAGTAATACTTTTAAAAGTATCAATTCATAAATATCAACTTACTCTCTTCATAATATAGTTTATTATAAATATATTCTATTGATGCCAAATATATATAACTATAGAATTATCCAGCATGTTGATTTTTGAATTATGACTAAACTTTATAAAACATTATTCTACTGACTTATATAACCAGTACATTTTTCATCCTATCTATTATTGTGAGATAAGTACAAGTTAATGACATGCCGCGAAAACTCATGTAATTTGCAGTTTTTTTGTGTTGAAATAAAGTTTGAAGTTGGGGTGCGCAAATTATATATATAGCTATAGATAGATCATCAATATGCAAGGTCCGCCATCTTAAAAAGACAAAACACAATTGTTGAATTTATGTTTCTTCCTTGTTTGTTAAATGTGTACCAGGTATATCATAAAACCTGGGTCAGAGTTTATCAAAAAATAATAATGACGCTATTGGTCGTCTAGAGAACAGTTGTGAAATTTAGGAAGTATCAACGAATTATTTAACCATAAAGTATGGTGTCTAAACTAAGATACACGGAATGTCCTTTTGGTTTTGATTCTGCATTTGGCATATACAATAACACAACAAAACTAGTAGTCGACAAAGTCGTCAAAGTCAACATATAAACTAACACAACAAAACTGGTACTCGACAAAGTGGTCAAATTCAACATATACACTAACGCGACAAAACTAGTAGTCGAGAAAGTGGTCAAAGTCAACGTATACACTAACACAACAAAACTGGTACTCGACAAAGTGGTCAAATTCAACATATACACTAACGCAACAAAACTAGTAGTCGACAAAGTGGTCAAAGTCAACATATATCATGTTTGAAATTTGATTGTAAAGTGTCCATGATCCTAATACACATACTGTCATCAGCACCGAAGGAAAGACATTTGTTTTTTGAAACATTCATATTCTCTCTGTAACCTTTCTTTGAATGTGTACCGAGAATGTTTATAAATGTTTCAGAACTGTTTTACAGCAATTATAACTCTGATGAGCATGGTTTTTATCTATTTTGTGCTTTTATTTTTGTCTTTCATCCAAATATCATATAATTAGGCAGATTATAGAACAAAGTTGTTGCTTTTTGTGTTTCTCCTCTGTTCCTGGTTCCACCTCTGCAGAGTTATAAAGAATATGTTAATTTGGTACAGTCACTTGTTACAATTTATTATTGGCTTATCTACTTCTAGAGGGATGAAACAGAACTTTCTTTTATTTGTGTGAACAACCTGTATCAGCTGATTTAACTGAAAACTACATGTATAAGGGGATCAGTTACTCTCCTAGATAGATACCTTCGGTTGGACACCAGAAAGCATCTTCAGTTATCTAATGTTGAATTCAATGTATTTCTGAAATAGTTACAAATTAGGAAAATATATAACTTATAATCAAATCTATGCCTCATCTCTTAGTTTATTGTTAAACCATCTAATAAATGTTTTTATGATGGACCTAGCTCTATGCTGTTATAGTATTTAATTTGTGATGTTGTAATGTCTATTAAACTGTCACATTATCTTTAACACTTTTCAACATCAATTCAAAAAAGTTGAAATCTGTATAAAGCAACCAACTAATTGTTTTTCACAGTTTGTGTATGAATATGAAAAAGATTATAAATAATTTGTTAAAGCAAAATATAAGTGTTTTGCTTCAAAATTGAATTTTTATTCATATAACATTTCAAATGTGGATAAATAAGCATGCATGTGAACTTAAATACATTATACTTTCAATTGAAAATAAATTAGGCTAGCTTAAAATGTTGTAAAGTATGATGCAAATTTGAAAGTACATTGAAATTCTCTATAAAATGTAAGTAAAAACAATTTACATATTAAAACAATATACATATTATACAATTAGTGTGCATGCTATGTTCTTTACAATGAGTACACAAAATTAAAAATAAGAAACAAATGTGTCTTATCAATATAGATACTACTGAGTGGTTACACATGCTAGGGTATGGATGAGTTCCCTCCCTTAGGACCTAAAATAAATTTGTTTACATCTGAAACTTCTTGGTATGGGAATAATAAGACTTGTATTTCTACTTGTTTTTCTTAGCTGGATAAAAGTTTGAATCACTTCATCTGATTGAAACATGACATAACTATGATATATTTTACAAAGTCGATCACTAAACAAGTACAATCAATTGTCGAAGTTGTGAGATTTCTTTTCTTAATTTGTCCTCCAGTAATTTTTGTTTCCCTTCAAGAACTGTTTTGGCATTTGCTATGCTGTCATGAACAGATGTGAAACCTTCACGGAATTCACGTTTAGATTTTGCAAGCTCCTCCTGGTGGTGACGGCTGTGAACTTCAAGCCTGTGCAGCATTCGCTTCTCCACATGCTGAAAGTATAAAAATTAAGGTTTTTAAAACATTCATAACAGTGATGTAGAGGAGGTATTTACAATATTCAATCTAATCAGCATCAAGGGCACTTAGGAAAGTTGTAGGTAGAATTAGGGGAGCTAAAAGAAGGATTTTCAGTGGCTGTTAATTTCTTTGTCATTTCCTTAAAAAAGCGGAAATAAAGGCTTGTTCAATAAAACATTTAGATAAATATTGTTGAAATAAAATCGTAAGTTGACTATGGACAGCCATCGCAGATTTTCTCTTGTCTTCTTTTTTGTGACATGAGTGTAATTATTTCATTGTTGAAGCATCATTTGTTGACACAACAGAGCAAGGTTACCTCCCTTTTCATGTGAGATTGCTTCAAAGTATTTGCTATATAAATTTTGTCCACATAATGAAAACCCAATTATTTTAATAGCTTTGGTATTGTTAAATCTTCTCTGCAACAAACCTCCAAATACAGTATAAAAGGGTAAGATGGGTTGCAGGTCTCTTGCAGGCCTGGTATTATGGGGTTGATGTAGACCTCGCACAGGGGATGCATGTTAAACCTGATGGAGGCCTACTATAATTGAAGTGGGGTACACCACATGGAGGTTTAGTTTTAGTGGCACAGTCTAGTATTATGGGGTGGAACACACAGTATGGAGGTGTAGTATTATAGGGGTGGGACACTACATGGAGTTCTATTAGTATTGGGGTGGGGCACCATGTGGAAGTACAGTATTATGGGGGAAGGGGGGGGCACCACATGGTGGTCTAGTATTATAGGGGTAGGGCACCACAAGGAGGTTTAGTATTGTGAGGGTAGGGTACACTACATGGAGTTCTTTTATTATTTGGGTGGGGCACCACATGGAGGTTTAGTACTATGGGGTGGGGCACCACATGTAGGTCTAGTACTATATGGGGTGGGGCACCACATGTAGGTTTTGTACTATATGGGGTGGGGCACCACATGTAGGTCTAGTACTATATGGGGTGGTGCCCAACATGGAGGTCTGGTACTATGGGTTGGGGCACCACATGGAGGTCTAGTACGATGGGGTGGGGCACCACATGTAGGTCTAGTACTATATGGGGTGGGGCACAACATGTAGGTCTAGTACTATGGGGTGGGGCACCACATGTAGGTCTAGTACTATGGGGTGGGGCACCACATGGAGGTCTAGTACTTAGGGGTGGGGCACCACATGGAGGTCTAGTACTATATGGGATGGAGCACCACATGTAGGTCTAGTAATATGGGGTGGAGCACCACATAGAGATCTAGTAGTATGGGGTGGGGCACCACATGGAGGTCTAGTACTATATGGGGTGGGGCACCACATGTAGGTCTAGTAATATGGGGTGGAGCACCACATAGAGGTCTAGTAGTATGGGGTGGGGCACCACATGTAGGTCTAGTACTTAGGGGTGGTGGCCAACATGGAGGTCTGGTACTATGGGGTGGGGCACCACATGGAGGTCTAGTACGATGGGATGGGGCACCACATGTAGGTCTAGTACTATATGGGGTGGGGCACCACCTGGAGGTCTAGTACGATGGGATGGAGCACCACATGTAGGTCTAGTACTATGGGATGGGGCACCACATGGAGGTCTAGTACTATGGGGTGGGGCACACCACATGGAGGTCTAGTACGATGGGTTAGGGCACCACATGGAGGTCTAGTACTAAATGGGGAGGGGCACCACATGGAGGTCTAGTACGATGGGATGGGGCACCACATGTAGGTCTAGTACTAAATGGGGTGGGGCACCACATGGAGGTCTAGTACGATGGGATGGAGCCCCTCATGTAGGTCTAGTTCTATGGGATGGGGCACCGCATGTAGGTTTAGTACTTTATGGGGTGGGGCACCACATGGAGGGCTAGTACTATGGGGTGGGGCACACCACATGGAGGTCTAGTACTATGGGTTAGGGCACCACATGGAGGTCTAGTACTTACTTTATGGGGTGGGGCACCACATGGAGGGCACGATGGGATGGAGCACCACATGTAGGTCTAGTACTATGGGATGGGGCACCACATGTCGGTTTAGTACTTTATGGGGTGGGGCACCACATGGAGGGCTAGTACTATGGGGTGGGGCACACCACATGGAGGTCTAGTACTATATGGGGTGGGGCACCACATGGAGGTCTAGTACTTAGGGGTGGGGCACCACATTGAGGTCTAGTACTATATGGGGTGGGGCATCACATGTAGGTCTAGTACTGTGGGTTGGGGCACCACATGTAGGTCTAGTACTATGGGTTAGGGCACCACATGGAGGTCTAGTACTTAGGAGTGGGGCACCACATGGAGGTCTAGTACTATGGGGTGGGGCACCACATGGAGGTCTAGTACTATGTGGGGTGGGGCACCACATGTAGGTCTAGTACTATATGGGGTGGGGCACCACATGTAGGTCTAATACTATATGGGGTGGGGCACCACATGTAGGTCTAGTACTGTGGGGTGGGGCACCACATGGAGGTCTATTACTATTGGGTGGGGCACCACATGGAGGTCTAGTACTATATGGGGTGGAGCACCACATTTAGGTCTATTATTATGGGGTGGGGCACCACATGTAGGTCTAGTACCGTGGGGTGGGGCACCACATGTAGGTCTAGTACTATATGGTGTGGGGTACCACATGGAGGTCCAGTACTATGGTATACATATATGTATGTGACTTACCGACTGTAGATCACGTAGGATTTCCCTGTCAGCCATCACGACCTGCTCCAGGTGGTGAAGTCGACTGCTAAATGTGTTGGCTGTATCACCCATTGTTCGCTCTAGACGATTCTGTAATATACCAACAAATATTTAACTTTTCATTTATTTTTGAAATATTTATAAAAAAAGAATGTAGTCTCTCCAACAACAATTTTCAAGTGGCAGATATCATTAAGGTAGAAAATGTTAAACTCCACTTGCCTTTACCCATGTTTATAATCCAGCAATAACCTGATGTCTGGTAATAAGCCCACCCATATCTATTGTATTCAATAGAAACGCCTACCAATGCTATTTCATTGTCTTTATAAGTTCAAGCTGTAGCTTATGCATTGGTCCTCTCACTCCTATGGGCTAATTTCAGGATTATGTGGTAGTATGTTAGCAGGTTTTAATTTCTATTGGCTAATTTCAGGATTATGTGGTAGTATGTTAGCAGGTTTTAATTTCTATTGGCTTATTTCAGGATTATGTGGTAGTATGTTAGCAGGTTTTAATTTCTATTGGCTTATTTCAGGATTATGTGGTACATGTAGTATGTTTGCAGGTTTTAATTTCTATGGGCTAATTTCAGGATTATGTGGTAGTATGTTAGCAGGTTTTAATTTCTATGGGCTAATTTCAGGATTATGTGGTAGTATGCTAGCAGGTTTTAATTTCTATTGGCTAATTTCAGGATTATGTGGTAGTATGTTAGCAGGTTTTAATTTCTATTGGCTTATTTCAGGATTATGTGGTAGTATGTTAGCAGGTTTTAATTTCTATTGGCTTATTTTAGGATTATGTGGTAGTATGTAAGCAGGTTTTAATTTCTATGGACTAATTTCAGGATTATGTGGTAGTATGCTAGCAGGTTTTAATTTCTATTGGCTTATTTCAGGATTATGTGGTATTATGTTAGCAGGTTTTAATTTCTATTGGCTTATTTTAGGATTATGTGGTAGTATGTAAGCAGGTTTTAATTTCTATGGGCTAATTTCAGGATTATGTGGTAGTATGTCAGCAGGTTTTAATTTCTATTGGCTAATTTCAGGATTATGTGGTGCATGTAGTATGTTAGCAGGTTTTAATTTCTTTTGACTTATTTCAGGATTATGTGGTACATGTAGTATGTTTGCAGGTTTTAATTTCAAACCCTGGGGATACAACATCATCCAACTCTGTTTTTTTCTTGTGACCTATTTGGTTCTACAAACATGAACAATGATTTCCACCCATTTTTATTGTTTATTTTTTTTCAAATAAGTCTTCATAGAAACAGTGACAAATGTTAGTATATGGTACAAACAACAGAGTACCATCTTAGTGTGTTGCTGTGTAATGCCTTCATGATGTCACAGATGACCAAGAATATTCCAGTAATTTGTGACATAGAAAAAAATGACAATTCAATATTTCATATATGCATCATATTGTTGTATAGTGTTGATTTCAAAATCTATCAGCCAGAGTATACATATTGATCTTGCTTTCCCAGTTGTTATATTTTCAAATTAAATATTTATGACAGCTGCAACTATAAAGAAAGTTCAGTCCTGCTACCCTACCACAGGAGGAAGATTGGATCCTTACAATCTTCCTCACTCTGGGGGACTGTATATACCCCACACCTAAAGAGAGAATATTTCCTTCACTCTGGGGGACTGTATATACCCCACACCTAAAGAGAGAACGATTCCTTCACTCTGGGGGACTGTATATACCCCACACCTAAAGAGAGAACGATTCCTTCACTCTGGGGGACTGTATATACCCCACACCTAAAGAGAGAACGATTCCTTCACTCTGGGGGACTGTATATACCCCACACCTAAAGAGAGAACGATTCCTTCACTCTGGGGGACTGTATATACCCCACACCTAAAGAGAGAACGATTCCTTCACTCTGGGGGACTGTATATACCCCACACCTAAAGAGAGAACGATTCCTTCACTCTGGGGGACTGTATATACCCCACACCTAAAGAGAGAACGATTCCTTCACTCTGGGGGACTGTATATACCCCACACCTAAAGAGAGAACGATTCCTTCACTCTGGGGGACTGTATATACCCCACACCTAAAGAGAGAACGATTCCTTCACTCTGGGGGACTGTATATACCCCACACCTAAAGAGAGAACGATTCCTTCACTCTGGGGGACTGTATATACCCCACACCTAAAGAGAGAACGATTCCTTCACTCTGGGGGACTGTATATACCCCACACCTAAAGAGAGAACGATTCCTTCACTCTGGGGGACTGTATATACCCCACACCTAAAGAGAGAACGATTCCTTCACTCTGGGGGACTGTATATACCCCACACCTAAAGAGAGAACGATTCCTTCACTCTGGGGGACTGTATATACCCCACACCTAAAGAGAGAACGATTCCTTCACTCTGGGGGACTGTATATACCCCACACCTAAAGAGAGAACGATTCCTTCACTCTGGGGGACTGTATATACCCCACACCTAAAGAGAGAACGATTCCTTCACTCTGGGGGACTGTATATACCCCACACCTAAAGAGAGAACGATTCCTTCACTCTGGGGGACTGTATATACCCCACACCTAAAGAGAGAACGATTCCTTCACTCTGGGGGACTGTATATACCCCACACCTAAAGAGAGAACGATTCCTTCACTCTGGGGGACTGTATATACCCCACACCTAAAGAGAGAACGATTCCTTCACTCTGGGGGACTGTATATACCCCACACCTAAAGAGAGAACGATTCCTTCACTCTGGGGGACTGTATATACCCCACACCTAAAGAGAGAACGATTCCTTCACTCTGGGGGACTGTATATACCCCACACCTAAAGAGAGAACGATTCCTTCACTCTGGGGGACTGTATATACCCCACACCTAAAGAGAGAACGATTCCTTCACTCTGGGGGACTGTATATACCCCACACCTAAAGAGAGAACGATTCCTTCACTCTGGGGGACTGTATATACCCCACACCTAAAGAGAGAACGATTCCTTCACTCTGGGGGACTGTATATACCCCACACCTAAAGAGAGAACGATTCCTTCACTCTGGGGGACTGTATATACCCCACACCTAAAGAGAGAACGATTCCTTCACTCTGGGGGACTGTATATACCCCACACCTAAAGAGAGAACGATTCCTTCACTCTGGGGGACTGTATATACCCCACACCTAAAGAGAGAACGATTCCTTCACTCTGGGGGACTGTATATACCCCACACCTAAAGAGAGAACGATTCCTTCACTCTGGGGGACTGTATATACCCCACACCTAAAGAGAGAACGATTCCTTCACTCTGGGGGACTGTATATACCCCACACCTAAAGAGAGAACGATTCCTTCACTCTGGGGGACTGTATATACAGGTGAAAAACTCCCATGTTTGTTGCACACAAAGGCTTTGACCTACATTTAAGGCAATAGAGATGTGTTCAAAAGACCTCTTAAGAATGAGTTACATGTATGAGCATTACAGGCCCTATATGCCTTTTGTTTATTATTCTAAATGAAAGTGAAATATTTCACAAATAAACTTTTTGTTTGAGGTATCATGGAAACATATTACCTGTTTACCATTTAAATTCAGTTTACCCGATGACCACAAGACTTGAATGTCTTTGCAAGCTTAAAGCTTATGGAAAATGTTATATGAATTGGAGCTGTAGAAATGGAAAGATTGTTATTCATTATATTGATATTGCTTTGAGGCCACACAGTGATGATGGTGAGATGAGCAGTTTAAAGTGAAGATATTGAAAGGACGTACATCTCTAAATCTGGTTTGTTTTTATCTGAAACCATAATCGTTGTCGAAGATTGCTCAATACACGTGTATTTCTTAATTACGCAGAGAAAACACACTATTTTATTGCTGTGATTTAAAGGAATACAATGGTTACAGGCTCTGACAGTTTGTCATGCAGAATGGCTACAGACTCTGACAACAAGAAGCGACTAGACACTTACAACAGTGTCACCTACAATGAACCAACAGCCTTGATTGTAGAAAGTCAGTGTCAGACAAGGGAGATAAATCACCATATGTGGATGTGGATTAATAAGGTTGCCTTACAAGCGTAAGCCCTAGGCCCAACTCGTCCTATAACAAAGGTTTAAGAATGTCAGTGGAAGACTTGAGAGCTAAATATAAGTACTGACCACAATAGCTGAGGTCACACAATGTCAATACCTATATGAAAAATGAGGTAACTCACTACAAAAACTAAGCTCAAAGGATGATGGTGCAATAAGTCCATGTAGAGCAAGGGAGATAACTAACAGCTAAGATGACATGATACCAGTGTAAGACAAGGGAGATAACTAACAGCTAAGATGACATGATACCAGTGTAAGACAAGGGAGATAACTAACAGCTAAGATGACATGATACCAGTGTAAGGCAAGGGAGATAACTAACAGCTAAGATGACATGATACCAGTGTAAGACAAGGGAGATAACTAACAGCTAAGATGACATGATACCAGTGTAAGACAAGGGAGATAACTAACAGCTAAGATGACATGATACCAGTGTAAGACAGGGGAGATAAGTCAGATAACTCACCAGAACAGCATTCCATTCCTCTGTAGCTTTGTTCATCATTGCTGTGAACTTGAGTTCCATGTTGTGTTGCTGGGAGTCCATCGTCATTCTGTGGGAGGTCATGGCATTTCTCACTTCCAACACAGCAGCATGGTTCCTCTCGTCCAGTATTTCAATTTCTCTGTTCGCATTTTTTTTCACATGAACTATTTCAGTCATTTGGTTTCCAGTCATTCTTTCCAACTCTGCAGTAATCGACAGCATCTAGGGAATGCAAAAAGGAGTTTCCATTACTGTAATGCGTCTACCATATTCAATGTTTATAGAATGAAAGAAAAGCTTTGGAGGAGTTGGTGGTGTTCCTGTTTACAATAGAGGAGAACAGTTTGTTTAAATCAATGATGGTTCTTAGGAAGAATGGACAGGTTGTTTAAATCAATGATGGTTCTTAGGAAGAATGAACAGGTTGTTTAAAAATGGAGTTTTTGGTAGAAGAATGCATCAGAAAATGTTGTGTCATGTTTTGGGTTTGATGATGTTTGGTTCGACTGAAACTTCGTTGTGAGTAATTTTAAATATCGGGGAGAGGTGTGCATCTCTATGTCTGTCTGAAAGACTTCACCAGCCAAGGTCTAGTAGTATGTCACCAACACTAGAGGTATTGTGATATCTGTTGGTGACACAGCATAGCCTTCGTTGCACTATTTTCAATTTGTTAATATCACGTTTTAGATACAGTAAGGGGCTGAAACAGGAGATGAATTGACAGATTTAAATGCTTTTTCATCAATTTTCCAGAATATTATTTTTAAATTTCTCTCAGAAAGCCTAAAGTCTTATTAGCTTTCTCTGTGATGTTGTTTATGCAGGTCTCCCATACTAGGTTTTGTTGTATAGTGATTCCTAAATAATTAGCCTCGTTAACAAGTTAGCAAAATTAGCTTAACATCTTCCAAAATACCATTGAATTAGTACTGAAAGACTGTAGCAAAGATTCTGATGTCAGATTTCAAACTGCCTTGTCAAGGAGCCCAATGATATACAGCTATAAATGTTACTTGTATAAATACCACATGTTCAGCTGCCTTCAATGCATCAGGTAATGTATTCCTTTCTAACTTAAGCTTCCTGACCTATATTCATTTCATTATTTTCCCTACAAATAAAACTTTGAGGCGCTTTAGTCTACCTCTGCTTCAAGTCGATGTATTTTTTCAGTAAGATTCTCTTTCAAGTACTGTTGTTCCTTTGACACAACACCAATGTCATTGAAGCAGTTTCTGATGTCCGAGGAGTGTCTGATGAGGCTGGCATCACACCGGACGATTCTGCTGCGTAGGTCCTGAAGACTCGTGATGTTGTGGACTTCTATCTTCCCCACAGCTTTGTTGGTCCCCACAACAACTGTATCACGCAGACGTAGCTGTTCTTCCTGCTCCTGTGGAATATAAGTCCATTTCAAACTATTTTATCACATTTTATTTCTTTGGTAACGTCTCTTAAATCTTGATAAGGATATTTGAATACAGTGGTGATGTCAAAATCTTGACACGCAAATTTGAATACAGGGAAGGAGTCTTACTAATCTTATCAGCAGTACTGGAGTATCTACTGAGAATGGTCCTTTGAAGGAAGTTTCCAACATTTTTGTCCATTGTACTTAGTATACGAGAAGAATATTTTGGTATTTCAAGATATACTTACAGCGATGTCCTGGCTCAACCTCTGAACAATGGTGGTTATATATCGTAGATGGTTCTGTAACAGATACCGAGTGTTCGACTCTATTCTGTCATCTTTTGCTCGGGCCAGACTGTCTATGAAATCATCTCGGTTCTGAAAAGCTTTCTCAATCAAGTTTTTTGTCATGGCCTGCTGCTGACTGAGAGCGTCGGCTACCTGTTGCTGCTGCGACAGGACGTGGTTTTGAGTTGTCAACGCTTGCGACACTTTACTTTCAAGGTTGTTGAAACGTGGACTTAATGTGCCCGACTCGACGTATACTTGTTTATGGCGGGGGCTGTCCACACGAATTGCATTGTAATCCTGCTCCACAACATCGTAGTTTTGCCCCCCGCCTATGGGTGATATAGGTGGTAGAGTTACTCTCTGTGCCATGTCGATCTAGAGAAAGAAATGTGAAGGGGGCAGTGTTAAACGTTACTTAGACATTGTGATGACAGTTAGAATCGTGATGTTTTATACACCTAATGTACCGGTCCTTTTATGGAGAATGAATGTTAAGTGTTTTAAAATATGTTTACAAAAAAGCACACCCATAAAGAATGACTTTTTCTACATGAATATAGGCAGCTCCATTATAGGATGCCAACATTTTGGGTAGGTTAGTTTTGTGTTGTTACAAAAAGTTGAAAACATCACACTTAAAACCAATCTACTTGAGTTTTGTACTAAAATATCCCAGTAAAGAGTTATGATTTGTTCTGAATTCTAAAATGATTTTATATTGTCCATTGTCCTTAAATCTACTGGGTATATAAGAAGTGGTGTGTTCTCAATACAGGCATTTTAATTCCACTGTCCAAACATTCAAATGAAAAGGGAACAATTGCTTTTAAAGAATTCAATGTGGAAGTTTTTGAAAAGAGAATGTGTCCCGTCGGTACGAACCATAGGAAGATTCTATATGAACACTCAGTCTGTTGTACATTTACCAGGAGATAAATGTACAAAATGAAAACCTATTACACTGTTTTTATATCAGGGTGCTTTTTAGAGAAGGTGTCCAGGGTTTTTGACAAACGTTAACCTTGGACGGTATGGACGCTATTAATCTTGTACAGTACAGACACTGTTTGGTTTATTTAACAATCTAATTGAATCCATTTAGTGTAAACTCTTATAACACATATATCAATAGTATTACATGTAGTAAATTCCTGATCATGATGTATCTATATATCAGTGTCAAATTTAGTTTATATGTTCACACTTCAAATATCTGTCCCCCTCCCCTCTCTTCTACCACCCCACCCGATGACAATCGGAAAGATCCACGATTTGATAATTCGTCAGTTTTCATTTTCATGCAATGTGTATTTAGAATACAATCAACCAGTATCTTTTTTAAAGTATTGTTTGCGTCTTACGTTCAACAATCTTACAACACTTAAATTAAAATATCATCTAGAAATTTTCTAGATTTATATCTGAAAGGAATTTGTTGTCGGTCTGAAAGTGCTGCTGTACAATCGCATGCTGACTGTACGTAGAGACCGACAGTTACCAAAGACTGATTTTTACATGAAAAAGTAACTACATTTACAACACCTGGCCGGGCAGTCTTTGTTGAATAAGTTTTCAAGCCCAAGAAAATCGTTTTAATTTGTCAGATGTTTCCCGTTGACGTGCAAGACTATCGGATACGTACATGTGACAAATTATCCAAAAAGACGGGGGGGCGATCGTTGAAAGCCCTGGACCCTCTCATCCTGACCCGATGAAAAATATAATATTGGGCAGCGATTTGGAAGTTTATATTTGTTAAGCACCGGGTCTTTATTTCGTATCATGTAAATTGACATCATCTCAGCCGATACCCGTCATCTTTCTTAAACAACATTAATCAGTTTCTTCAAGTTACCGAAAACTAACAATCACAACTAAGAAAAGCCATGTATTTCAATGTTAATCATTGGTACACACACACATTTGGAGCTGTTCGTATCAGTACGGCTTGTGGAACATAAACACACAAAATTTTACATTTAAACACATAGATTACTTGTAAATTAGTTAAATGTTTGAAGGTGGCGAAACTGCCTGCACCGTTGAGCAAAACCATGGAAGGCCTGATGACGTCACAAATGTTGCTGCATGACGTCATTCAGGCGTGTTTACGACAATGTTTATTTATAGGAATTTCAGTCGAATCTTCTGTATTGGTGCTCGTCGGCATTTTGATACATGCTACAAATTATTAACAGAAACCCTTACTAATGTGACGAATTTGCCTTCACTGACGTTAGTGTGTGAAACATGACTGAAACTGCTTTGCTCAATTTATTTTCCCCAATTTATGTATCAAAATAATTCCAAAATGCATTCATTTGATTCAGACACATCTGCTATGATCATTACACACATACTGCAGTAACTAGGAGATCATTTGACCACAGGATGTAGATTTTGAGTTTGTGTAAGTTTGGACTAATGAGTGAGAGTTGACAGCTATGAAGGCCCCTTATACAGTATGTATTATGTTGTAGGATAAACAGCAATTGTATCCAATACACACTGCAGATAATGTTTGAATGTCAAGAGTTTTCACAACCAAATTTTAAAGAGGACAGTTTTAGTTACCAGTAAGTACAATTTATGTTAAAAAAAATGTAAAAAATAAATAAAAAAGGAGGCAAAGTATACAAGATTTTAGTTTCAACACTTAATAAATAAGTATTCAAAACATGCTTTTTTTTATCATGAAACTTACCTATATTGAGTTAGTAGGTCCAATGTGTATGATTTCTAGGTGTACAGAGAGGGAAACAAGAATGTCATGATTCCTCGCCATGTTGTCTAAACTATGATCCGCTCTGTACATGTTCACACTTTGTCTGGCCTTTAAAGCGTTCTACGTACCCTATGTTAAACACCCCTAAACACTTACTCAAGATCTATTCAGCTTCATAAAAGATTTCCCAAAGAATGACAGTCTTTCAATACCCACACCTTCTGTAGAAATCTGAATTACACATTAAATGGTGGACATTCAGTTTTTGTTATTTATCGTCATTTCAATGTGAATGATTTGAGATTATGAATAATTAGATCACTTTTATCGACACCACTTCAAAAACCAACAAATTGTAAACCGATCCCTTGGACTTTTTAATAGATTCTGATAGAAATTCTATTAAACATGAGCAACGAAAATTGTTGATCAATCAGTCCAACTGTTGAGGTTGTGTTCACAACAGGAAACATGGACAAACCATTCTGTTGTAAAAATAATCAGGTTTGCATCACGAAGAATAATACAACACCTTTTACCCTCCATGGTCAACAGCCATGTATGTACATGTATACATGTTTTTACGCTAATCCAGATGCCGATAATCCAGAACATTTTCTTATGGGGTACGGTATTATATATATATATATATACACTCAGTAATTTAATGAATTTTCCAGCATCATCAACTCAGAAAACTCATCATGATAATACTTGGAATCTCCAAAGCATCATAGAAAAGAATCTTTTAAAATAAAATTGGATGTTTAGGTATTCAAATGATGATATAAACTTAAAATAATTTGAATTGCATGCGAATTGTGAGGTAAATTTTGAGGAAAAAAAATGATCAAATAAAACAAAATAAAAGCTAACATTGCATCTAGTTGAATTACTACAATGAAGATGATGTCACAATAAAGTTATACTGGAGTTTTCAAAATCATTCTTGACTGATTTTACATTTCAAACCGAAGTACATATGTATACAGATCAGTGATGTTTCACAGTATGAATCACTTAAAGGAGTTATATGCTTTTGCCTAAAAATTGGGGAAGAAAGTCATTTGTGAATTGAAATGTATCATAATTATTCTGATAACTATCAGCTGTGGGTCAGCAAATACATATGAACACTTCTCCTACATGTTAAATTCATGAATTAAAGCAACGAGCTTACAGAAATGTATTGCCTTTGATCTGGGTTGCCATACTCTACAGCTACAAAGAATATTTTAACCATTGGAATCTTGCCATGAAGTTTCTATTTGTTATTGAATTGATGTAAATGTCTATTATATTAATGATTTATTTCTTATTTTTGTATTAAAACTAATTTATATTTCTCTAGATTACATTCGACCTTTTCAAGATTCTTTCTTTTGAATTAAAACTTGAGTCTGATAAAAAGTTTGTTTTTCACAATTTCTCATTTGTGTATGATTAGCAAGTGTCTTAATGAATGAGAACAGATACGATGTTAAAAAAGAATCAGTTAAAACAGCAAATAAGTTATTGTACATCAATGAAAATTTAACAACAACAAAAATCTTGGGAACTGTCAGGGCTCCATTTTTTTTCAAGATATTTGACCCAAACAACAGTGATTAGCTCACAGTGATCAGCACAGTGATCAGCTCACAGTGATTAGCTCACAGTGATCAGCACAGTGATTACCTCACAGTGATCAGCTCACAGTGATCAGCTCACAGTGATTAGCACAGTGATTAGCTCACAGTGATCAGCTCAGTGATTAGCTCACAGTGATCAGCACAGTGATCAGCTCACAGTGATTAGATCACAGTGTTCAGCACAGTGATCAGCTCACAGTGATCAGCACAGTGATTAGCTCACAGTGTTCAGCACAGTGATAAGCACAGTGATCAGCTCACAGTGATTAGCTCACAGTGTTCAGCACAGTGATAAGCACAGTGATCAGCTCACAGTGATTAGCTCACAGTGATCAGCACAGTGATTACCTCACAGTGATCAGCTCACAGTGATCAGCACAGTGATAAGCACAGTGATCAGCACAGTGATTAGCTCACAGTGATCAGCTCACAGTGATCAGCACAGTGATCAGCACAGTGATTAGCTCACAGGGATCAGCACAGTGATTAGCTCACAGTGATCAGCACAGTGATAAGCACAGTGATCAGCACAGTGATTAGCTCACAGGGATCAGCACAGTGATTAGCTCACAGTGATCAGCTCACAGTGGTCAGCCCACAGTGATTAGCTCACAGTGATCAGCACAGTGATTAGCTCACAGTGATCAGCTACTTTTAAAGTTACAATTGTACATGTAATTATAAAAAATCAGCTTACATTTGTTATGTAGAATCCAAGTGAAGTAAACAATAATCCTGTGATCAGTGAACAGTGCGGAGATACATCCTTTCTGTGGGTTTCAAGTGGGTGACTGTCTTAGGCTCACGTAGAGTTCCTGAGACACCTTTCTTCAAATTCCTCAACCTATGACATTTTCTAATAAAACCCCATGTTGACTTGTATACATTTTCCACATTTGTTCGATAGACTCTACAATCCTATTCAGTGATTTCAATAATCCTAGACCGATGTTTACCGGCTGGACAAGGCACCCCAGGGAGATACAATCCCTGAATTAGCTGATATTTGTCCTGCCTTAGCGCTGGTTTTGGAGAGTTTGAACAGTGGCAAATATTTCTTATCTATTGTTCTTCAGAAAGTAAACAATCAATTTTAATTGGACGATGGGTTACCAGGATGAATTGTACATGTAAATATCAGTCAGGAGTTGACAGGATGATCAAGTCACCAAGTGAAATGGTTAACTGTAGTAACTGTCAATGGAGTAGTGTATATTGATGAACACAAAGTTGAAAATCCAATAATTTTCAAAACACTATCATTTTCAAGATATTTAAATTTTGTTTTGTGATTAATGTAAAAACACTGAATATTTTTTTTATGAAACTTACATTTGTTGCGACTTTTACATCATTTTGAAGGGAAGATTACTAATTTATGTGGTAATACATTTTTGTACATTTGTACAGTGAAATCTGTCTATACTGACATCAAGTTGGACTGAATCTTTGGTCAGCTAAGACAGTGTGTCAGCAAAATAAGGGTTTATAGAGAAACCGGTCTTGTTTGGTTCATGTCAAATATTACAGGAGATCCTTAAAGTCAGGTGATGATAAATTAAGGTTTCTGTCAAGTGTCTGCAATGTCAAGTATTGGTATAGTCAGGTATCAGTGAAGTCAGGTGTCAGTAAAGTGAGGTATGTGAAAAGTCAGGTGTCTGTAAATTTAGAGGTCAGTAAAGTCAGATGTCTGTAAAGTCAGGTGTCTGTAAATTTAGAGGTCAGTAAAGTCAGGTGTCTGTAAAGTCAGGTATTGGTAAAGTCCATTTTTTTTCAATGTAGAAGCAAAATGTGACAAAATATTTAATAAAATATTTGTCTAAATATCTTAAAAAATGCTTCATTTTTTCTTTTTCTTTTTTCTTCCCCCAACGACTTTTACATTAACTTTACAAAGTAGGTTTAAATTTTCCCCACATTGGGCCCTCCACTGTACAGAAATCAAACGTGTTTATGTCACCTTTCACAGATAGATCCCATGTCATCCTAGCTCGCATGATCGAACCAACCATTTTGGAAAACATGGTTGTCATGTTGTAAATGAAGTTTGTATATACTTCAAATTATTTCCACTTGTTTGAATTTAAAAGTAGATTTTACAGGTAAACAGTTTTTGAATTCAATTCATCTGAGTCCTGTCCTTACATGTTTTGAGAATGGTGCTGCCATTGTGCGGTGTGTTTAGTAAAAGTGTCAGGTAGGACAACCAGGCTGTTAGTAATTCTGTGGCTTAGAAGAGGAAAACTTTATATTCAGGTACCGTTGTATTTTACATCTGATCCATGTAACACGAAGTAAATTGATTTTGACTCTCACAGCGAGTGTATGAATCTCGATTCAGTTGATATCTTCTGTTTATTTGTCCAACTTCTGTGTCTTTTACGATGTGTCAATACTGTCATTAAACTATCTGTTGACAGTAGAGAAAAAATGAAAATGATGTATGAAGTTTTACTGTCGGTGCATTTCAGGCAAAGTGTTCAGAAATATTCCTTAAATTTCTTTCATTTCTATGATCATCATTTACATAAGGAGACCATCTATAAGTTTATATCTGTATGGTTTGTGTACATTTGTTCATCAGACATTCAATACCGGAGACATAATATTGAAATGTTTAAGTGTATATTTATGTAGGAAAGATATTTTTCTGCTATAAATGTGTTGATGCCATCAGTCAATACACATGTAATTTTACACTTGATGATCTGGCTTTACCTTGTGGCTTATCAAACTAATTTTTCTATCTAAATTTTACCTGTAGTTTATCTGTATAGAAATGATCTTTATAGACAGGTACTTTGCTATACAGAGGTGATAACAAAGACATGTACTTGTTTTAAAGAGATAATCTTTATCGACAGGTATTTACTATACAGAGGTGACATTTATAGACAGGTTAATTTACTATACAGAGGTAAACTTTGTAGAAAAGTACTATACTAAAGTGGCCTTTATAGACAGGTATTAATTGTAAATAGATTACTTTTATAGACAGGTAGTTGCTCTTAATATGTGACCTTTATAGAAAGTTACTTAGTGTACTAAGCTGTCCTGTATAGACAAGTTATTTTCTATGCAGAGGTGACCTTTATAGACAGGTATTTACTGTACATAGTTGACCTTTATAGACAGGTATTTACTGTACATAGTTGACACTTTTAGACAGGTTTTTACTTTACATAGTTGACACTTTTAGACAGGTATTTACTTTACATATTTGACATTTATAGACAGGTATTTACTTTACATAGTTGACCTTTATAGACAGGTATTTACTGTACATAGTTGACACTTTTAGACAGGTATTTACTTTACATAGTTGACACTTTTAGACAGGTATTTACTTTACATATTTGACATTTATAGACAGGTATTTACTTTACATAGTTGACCTTTATAGACAGGTATTTACTGTACATAGTTGACACTTTTAGACAGGTATTTACTTTACATAGTTGACACTTTTAGACAGGTATTTACTTTACATATTTGACATTTATAGACAGGTATTTACTTTACATAGTTGACCTTTATAGACAGGTATTTACTATACAGAGGTGATCTTTATAGACAGGTATTTACTACACAAGGGGGTGCTAGCCTGATGTTCAGTCAAACCCACAAGTGCTGGGCAACCAAAAGCACATGATGTGTTTATATCATGTAGATTTAGTAGATACACATCAAATACGCTTGTGTTTGTCCAGCACCTCTGGTTAAACCTACCATCGTCTCACAAATTCTGACTTCAGATTTTATGCTGTTTTAACTGTCTTTAAGGAAGTTTATGCTGCTTCATTTTGCGTTATCCTGATTAAAAGTTATGAATGCATTCTAATCAAATAAAATATCATGAACCTTGTTTCAAGAAGCCTCCATTACGCTGCCACATTTTTAAAGGTCACTTGAAATCTGCGTAATAAAGCTTGACACAAAAATGGAATGCTTTTTACATTCTGGCACAATGTATTTTATAAAACTATAACCTGTCTGCATGGGAAGCCCTCTAATCCTTATCTATATTGATTTGCTGAATTTCACACCCTGGAGTCAAATGTCAATACCTATCAACAACTACAACTTCCACAATATCAATTAAGACCTAATTACAGGTGCTTACAGCCGTTTTGTTGGCCAGACCATGTCTCATAATCAATATGTAATATTGATTCTTGTTCTCTGGTTTCTGGCCAAATAAACCTCAAGTTGTTTACACACATATTTATCTTCACTGGTCCTGTATGTTGTAATCGGGATGAAAAGCTTATGGAAATATTCGTGAAATAAGCTGAAGATTTTGTTCTGTTGGTAATCATATCGTTTTAAAGTTGTGGATGAAATGTGAGTGATTTTGGTTCCTATATTTCAACAGAAATTTAGAAAATAGTTTTAAATTTAGTTCTTTTACTGCTATTTATTACTTTGACTGATATTAAACTGCTTTTTCTTTTTATTCTTGCAGGTCAAAATATATAGTGCTTCCACATATTAGCCAAAGTGCTTGGGTGTTTCTTATGAAAGAAACCTGAGAGATTTTGTGTGGGAAATAACATCAGATATATTGTAATTTGTGAAGCTCACCATGGCCAGAAGGGGAGGGACCTTACCTGCGCTTCGTGCCCCTTACGCAGCAACTGAAAGTCAGGAGTACGGAATTACCTACAGAAACAGCCCTCGCCCAGAGGAAATAGTACCAAGAGAAAGTAGGGGGCCGTCCCGTCTGGACATTTTGGAAGAGAGGCTTGCCCAACAAGAAAGGAACACCCAAACATTAATTGATCGGGCTTTTAAGATCAAAGAGGATGTGATTGACAGTCTCAACTTTACACATGGCACGTGGCAGGAGGAGAAACATGCTCGGTCTATGTTACAAGAACATATTCGTACTATCACCGCCATTGTCAACAAACTCAACACTGACATCGCTGTAAGTCATTCTCAAACACAGCAAATATATCGTTATTCATATACTGTAGATTACTCATTTTTTGTTTGATATTTATTTGGCCTAAATTTGCATTGAGCATTGCTAAAGAAAATATTTTTTACATAAGATTTACACAGTGAGGTAAACTTGAATTTGTTATCTAATATTTAGAGATTTTTTTTATGGAGCTAGAAATGTTCAAATGCATTACAATAACATATCTTGGCAAAATACTTATCACTGTATCCAGGACACATGATTTAAATATGTCAGTTTTGAGTTATATTTTTGAAAAGTTTTTATTTAATGTAAATTATCTCCCTTTGTTTTAGATGGTAGATGATCAGTTGCGGCACCGAGACAATGCAACTGTTGGAACAAATAATGCAGTCAAGAATCTTGAAGTACATCATGTCGCCTCACTGACTGACCTACGGGGCAGAATTGTGCGCTGTGATACGTCCATCGCAAAACTGTCAACCGATTTACGACAAAGTCAGGAGGCCATGAAACAATTAGGCAACTTCTCAGCAGACGGCAACAACAAAGTGTTGGACCGAGTCCACCAACTGGAGTCCAGGGTATGACCCACTTGACCTCTGACCTATGGCCTCACATCCTACACTTTCTTAACCTGTACCCTACTTCCTGTTACCAATGTGATAGATATTCACCTTTCGACAAACAGTTTTATGGACTTAAGATATTTCTTTGTCTCCTGATGAAATGTTGACACTAAGATATTTCTTTGTCTCCTGATGAACTGTTGACACTAAGATATTTCTTTGTCTCCTGATGAACTGTTGACACTAAGATATTTCTTTGTCTCCTGAT